ACACACACACACACACACACACACACACACACACGATGGCCCTCCGTCCGGTAGAGGTCACGACTCACGATAAGCTCAAACATGCTCCGTGCGACTCGCGCTGCCATTGTGCGCCAATGATTCTGATTGCTTCTATGGGCTGCAAAATGTTCCTCCTCTAGAGGGCGTGTGGTGGCCCAGAACGCCGAAAACGACCGTGCTGCATTAGAACAGTGTTTAATACTAATATATCATCTGTGATATAGATGAGCGTAAAGTTACGCCCTTTGCCACTGTTTTTAAATATTATTCGTTTAAAGTTTCTAATTGGGCATACTTGAAAGTTTAGTTGGAAATGGCAATTTGATTACCAAAAATAATCAGAGTTATCGTTTAAAGGCGACGTTATTCCATACTGGAAGTTTCTTTGGAGTGAAAACTGTTGCAAAATCCACTAAATGTATTGTTCAAAATAAGATTAATATCTGTATACTTTTGATTCAATTTCAAATACATGTAAATTCACTAATAAAACCCACAACTTAGATTCTGAGACTCTAAAGCTCTATGCAAGTTGTTCAAAAATGTGACTTATTTGTATTCCCCATTTTATATTTTAGTTTTAAGTTTGTTGATTATAATGTATAATTTTGCTACAAAAAACTAAACAAAAAAAACGTTAATAGTTAAATTAGGAGAGAGCCATCACATCGGACCAATTAGAAACAACATCCGGTACACGAAGCTCCGTCCATCTAAGGACTTGCGTGTCGCGTTCACGTTATTTCTGCGCTTCAATGGCTGTCCTCCTGCAGACACACCGAGGATTTGTGATCCACGCGTGGAAGAATGACTCATCTCATGCTACATGCACGGCTATTTTGACTGCATGTTTGATTCAGATAAAGGCTGCATTTCTTCTCTAATGCCGGGAATTATTTCCAGCTTTATTCGACCTCAAACAAGATAACCTCAAGCTGGAGGAGACTGCTGTCTGTTTGACAGCCCTCAAGTGCATCTTGATTTCTTATATATATCTTCTGTATGTAGGACTAAATCTAAATCCTAACTTATTTTATTTCGTCTACAATCGCTGGAGCAACATTTAAGTCTGTTTGTTATAATAATAATAGTTGCAAGTCCAGTTTTTAAAGGCGTCTCGGACAGCTCGTCCTTTGCAAACTGAATCCGGATCGACGCCGCTTCGTTAAAACCCAATAGCAGCGTCTACATTGAACTTTTCTTTCGTTCAGCATTTCAGACTCAGATGCACACAGCGCCTGTATGGGAGTGAAACTCTCCCACACGGAAGTGACTCCCTCACGTTAGGCCAGTGATCGTTTGTGTTTTTCTAAGTGAAGTTGTATTAACTTAAAATGATTCCTGACAAGGCACCAGGCGAGGATGTGTTACATGCTTCAGGGGACTTGAAGAAAGAAGCGCACATCCCCAGCTTTGAGAAGTACAAAGAGCTCTACATCAGATCTGTCGAGTCTCCTGAGGGTGAGTTTCATTGGGCAGGTCATTAACTCGCTAAAAGCTGTTGTTTTGTGAGAAAAAGCCCCACTTGGCTGTGTCTCAAAGCATTGTGCACACAATGATTAGTGTGCACAATCATTGTGCACACTTGATAGACAGCAGTTTTGGACATCAATAACCCACCTATGTTGCTGTATTTTTTAAGTTGTTTATTATTTGGATGTAATCATTGCATTTTCATCTGTTATTGCAGGATCTAACCAGCATAACTTTATTTAGTTGTTCGTGTATATTGAATAGGGATATGCCGGTATCAAAGTTTCATGTTGCGATTAATTGCTAATGCTTTTATCACGGTATGCGGTATTCTCACGATATTGAAATTTAGTTTTAAAAAAAAGGGCTGTCATAATACAGTATAACAGGTTTAATAACTTTTTTCTTATAACAAAAATAACTGAACATTTAAATGCAATAAAGCAATACAGAAAAATGTATAAAGTTAAAAGTTTTACACAGATTAAAGTGCAAAATAACTATAAAGACCAATAGGTATCACTTTACAATAAGACCTCATTAGTTAACCTTAGTTAATGCATTAACATTCACAATGAGCAATAGCTACATTTGCTACAGAAGTTATTAATCTGTTAAAAAAATACAAGTCTTTGCTCATGTTAGCTCATTAAATAACACAGTTGCAACTTTCGATTTTAACAACGTGTTATTAAATATTGGAATACCTAAGATTAATGAATGTTCAGAATAATTTTTCATTGGCAGTTTATGTTAACTAATGAATTAACTAATGTTAACTAATGAAGCCCTAATGTAAAGTGTGACCGAACAATAAAGAATCAAAACACTTTCAAACAATATCTAGGGCATGTTGTAGTCCAGATTAAAATGTAAAAAAAGATTGAAAATAAATAGCCTATGAAGTCTAAATATTTAAGTATTTGGCGCTGTGATGAACATCATAGCAAATACACAAATCTGAATGGCTGTTTAAATCATTTAAACACGATTCAGAAACAGAAAGTAGTGCAGCTGCTTTGTTTACAGGGTTTCCGGGGTAACGGCTGCATTTAAATGAATTATTATTATTATTATTATTATTATTTCTGCAGTTTAGCGCCATCTGCTGTCAGAGAGTGGAAGTGCGCTTTCATCCAGAGCGTCTTCCGCCATGTGCTTCTCGTCCGCGCTTATTTACATCAGAGTGCGCACGCGTCTTTCACGCTGGTGTTGTGCATTTTGACCAGTTTATGGGAAAAGTATTCTTAAAATGCATTCATAATTCTGAATAATTTGTAATATATAATTATTCACGGTATTTAGAAGTGTCCATGATAACAATATCGTGTATATTCATTACCGTGATTTATCGCATTACCGAATACCGGCACATATCTAATATTGAAGGTGTTATTGCTATTAGCAATATTAGCTAGTTGTTGTTGTTTTAATTTTAAATACTTTTTATAAAAAAAAAAACATTGCTTAGCCCACGTGCACTTCCTAGAGAAAAAAAAACATCACATTCCCTTGTAGATATGCTTTAATAAAACAGTAACCTCTGTTTTTACTAGTACAATTGAAATAAATTATACATTTTAGTTTTAATAATAACACGTTGTTAATGTGCTTGTTGTTGTTTTATCATTAAAATACTTTAAAAAAAAATCAAATATCTTACTTTGCCCACATGCACTTCCTAGAAAAAAGCACCACATGCCCTTATGATATGCTTAAAAACATTACCCCGTTTATAATAATACAAATCAAATATTGTAATAGTGTTTTTGTTGTTATTTTAATAGTAAATATATTAACAATTTATTATTGTTTTTTTTTTAAATACTTGAAAAAATTCTTAACAAAAACTGTTTATACTAGTACAATTGAAATATAATGTTTTTAATAATAATAATAATAGTACATCATGAATGCATTTATTATTGTTGTATTATTTATTTATTTTTGAATTATTAAAAATCCTTACTTGGCCCAAATGCACTTCGTAGAAAAGATGACAACACGTTTTCATTTATTTTTATTTATTTTTTAAACATTACCCTTTGTTGATACTAGTGCCATTGATAGCTGGGAGATTTGTTTATGGTTTTGCTCTGAATCTCCGTTATGAATCAGCTGTGCATTAATGTTCTGGTGTGTTTGTCCAGAGTTCTGGGGAGATGTTGCCAAAGATTTTTTCTGGAAGACTAAATACACCGGGAAGTTTCTGGACTACAATTTCGACGTAACCAAGGGTGAAATTTTCGTGAAATGCATGGAAGGTGCCACAACCAACATCTGCTATAATGTTTTGGACCGCAACATCTATGAGAGGAAACTAGGTGACAAAGTGGCTTTTTACTGGTTAGTATTTGTGAAGCATGTGGTTTAAATGTTTCAGTTTAGCCCGAAAGGTGTGCATGTGACATTATATTTTGAGAGTTGTGTTAAAAAAAGTTTGAAAATAAATAGCCTATTAAGTCTAAATATTTAAGTATTTGGCTCTGTGATGAACATCATAGATTCACGATTCAGAAACAGAAAGTAGTGCAGCTGCTTTGTTTACAGGGTTTCCGGGGTAACGGCTGCATTTAAATGAATTATTATTATTATTATTATTATTATTTCTGCAGTTTAGCGCCATCTGCTGTCAGAGAGTGGAAGTGCGCTTTCATCCAGAGCGTCTTCCGCCATGTGCTTCTCGTCCGCGCTTATTTACATCAGAGTGCGCACGCGTCTTTCACGCTGGTGTTGTGCATTTTGACCAGTTTATGGGAAAAGTATTCTTAAAATGCATTCATAATTCTGAATAATTTGTAATATATAATTATTCACGGTATTTAGAAGTGTCCATGATAACAATATCGTGTATATTCATTACCGTGATTTATCGCATTACCGAATACCGGCACATATCTAATATTGAAGGTGTTATTGCTATTAGCAATATTAGCTAGTTGTTGTTGTTTTAATTTTAAATACTTTTTATAAAAAAAAAAACATTGCTTAGCCCACGTGCACTTCCTAGAGAAAAAAAACATCACATTCCCTTGTAGATATGCTTTAATAAAACAGTAACCTCTGTTTTTACTAGTACAATTGAAATAAATTATACATTTTAGTTTTAATAATAACACGTTGTTAATGTGCTTGTTGTTGTTTTATCATTAAAATACTTTAAAAAAAAATCAAATATCTTACTTTGCCCACATGCACTTCCTAGAAAAAAGCACCACATGCCCTTATGATATGCTTAAAAACATTACCCCGTTTATAATAATACAAATCAAATATTGTAATAGTGTTTTTGTTGTTATTTTAATAGTAAATATATTAACAATTTATTATTGTTTTTTTTTTAAATACTTGAAAAAATTCTTAACAAAAACTGTTTATACTAGTACAATTGAAATATAATGTTTTTAATAATAATAATAATAGTACATCATGAATGCATTTATTATTGTTGTATTATTTATTTATTTTTGAATTATTAAAAATCCTTACTTGGCCCAAATGCACTTCGTAGAAAAGATGACAACACGTTTTCATTTATTTTTATTTATTTTTTAAACATTACCCTTTGTTGATACTAGTGCCATTGATAGCTGGGAGATTTGTTTATGGTTTTGCTCTGAATCTCCGTTATGAATCAGCTGTGCATTAATGTTCTGGTGTGTTTGTCCAGAGTTCTGGGGAGATGTTGCCAAAGATTTTTTCTGGAAGACTAAATACACCGGGAAGTTTCTGGACTACAATTTCGACGTAACCAAGGGTGAAATTTTCGTGAAATGCATGGAAGGTGCCACAACCAACATCTGCTATAATGTTTTGGACCGCAACATCTATGAGAGGAAACTAGGTGACAAAGTGGCTTTTTACTGGTTAGTATTTGTGAAGCATGTGGTTTAAATGTTTCAGTTTAGCCCGAAAGGTGTGCATGTGACATTATATTTTGAGAGTGGTGTTAGTGTTAGTACAGCACATGTAATACCTCTGAATCAACATTGGTTTATGATGATTGCTCATGGTTCAGCTTTTTCAGGATTTCAATCTACAATTTTGCAGTAATCAGCCCAGTTCTTTAAGCACAAGGTTAAACCACAGTTGCATTCAGGTTGAGACCTGGATATTTGGCCACAAATTCCTTCCAGGTTACCTGAGTCAATATAATATTACTGGGCCTGAGCTATTAATACATTAACATGGCAAATGTTGACAGACAGGGGTAAGTCAAAGCAAAACAACTGAGATAAATTTAGACTCTCAAGCTGTTTTAGTAAATCATGGAAGCTTGAACCAGGTCCTGCCAATAGCACTTCACCCAGAATAAGGTGCATATCTGCAGTATTGCATCTTCATAGCGTTTATTTCTTCATGTGCATATCTGTGCTGGATGCTGTCCATGCAATTCATGAGGACTTTTTTTGCCAGTCATTGTTCATTAGCATTTAGATCTACAAAAATAGCCTGTAAAGACTTTGTGCAACAAATGTTGTCTGGGGCTGTTGCTAGTTCTCTGCTTTCACAATTCCAGTTTAGCAATTGTGAAGTTTTCAATCGTTTCTTGTTACGACACAAGTTCAAATCATTTCAGAATTCAGTTTGAAATGCTCAAGTGTGGATCTCTTCTGCAGTTGTTGTTGTTGTTGTTTGCCAGACTTTTCCTTTCTGTGTCAGAACGCGGTTCTATTTTAAGAATGTCAGCTGACATGCAAAGTCAAAATAAAAAAGTGACTTATTAACCTGTAGGGGACATTTAAGGGCACTTCTCGCATAAGTGTTAGCAGAGGCTTACAGTAATTGAAACCGATCAGAAACAAATATTGAGCATTAAAATGTAAAATACAGATGAATCTAGGAGATGCACAAACATGTTTTGTCAACCTGCTAAGTGTCTGATATTCAAACTTTGTTGAACACAAGTGTCAATATACATGACTGGTAATGAATGAACTATGTTAGAAAATATGTTTGAAAGTTTGGGGTTTTTGAAAGAAGTCTGTTACGCTCATCAAGGCTGGTCAAAAACACTGTAAAAACAGTAATAATGTGAAATATCATTACAATTTAAAATAAATGTTCTCTATATTTATATATTTTAAAATATCATTTATTCCTGTGATGCAAAGCTGAATTTTCAGCATCATTACTCCAGTCTTCAGTGTCACGTGATCCTTCAGAAATCATTCTGATATGCTGATTTGCTGCTCAATAAACACAGTTTTGGAAAACAATTTGCTGTGTGATATTTTTGTGGAAGCTTTGAACAATTACTGTCACTTATGAGAGTAATATTTCTGGACATTGTTTTGTGCAGGGAGGGTAATGAACCTGGAGATGAAAAGACAGTGACATACAGAGAACTGCTTCAGCAAGTCTGCAAGTTTGCCAATGTTCTCAAGTCGCAAGGTAAAACACAAATGTTGTTGAACTGTTGGCATAATAGTGACCAGCAGCAGGTTAAAGATTTGACATTGATGTTGTCTATTAAGGCAATGTCCAATGTCGGTCCCTTTCTCATTTTCTCTCTCTGACCTTGCAGGCGTGAAGAAAGGTGATCGTGTATCTATTTACATGCCCATGGTGGTGGAGCTGGTGGTGGCCATGTTGGCCTGCGCTCGGATTGGAGCGGTCCACTCTATAGTGGTCAGTCCTTTGTCATTTGCAAATGATTTCGTTTGTCTTCTCTTAGATCTTAGCTGTGTTGACCAACCGGCTTTTTATAAAACATGTCAAAACAAAGTACCCATACTTGTTTTGCAGGGTGTGATCTCTATCAGACTTTTTTGTTCAACAATTAGAGTTTGCATAAAAGAGTTGACACTGTGTCAGAAATGTAATACATAAGAAAAATATCACAATATGTTGTTGCAACATTGTGTTTACTCTCATTTTTGTATTCACGACCCAGTTTGCCGGTTTCTCCGCTGAGTCATTGTGTGAAAGGATCATGGACTCTCAATGCTGTATTCTTATAACGGCAGGTAAGTAAAGCATGGCAAGAAAACCAGAAGTAATTTACTCAAAGTGTGTAATCTTAAAGCAGCTAATCCTCAAATGAATCAGCTGCATTTCCATTTACTGCAAAAGAGCGCAGCATTTCACATTGTTCACAAGTCTGGGGATTAAAGATGGTGTTAATCGTATCACTATCAAAAGCTGGTTAGCCTGCGGTTGTGAATTGTTTTTTTTTTTTTTTTTTTTTTTTTTTTTTTTGTGTTGACACACAACA